AATCATCTTCTATTATTGGATTGACATTAATCTGTGTCTTTAAACCTAGTAGTAAATTCTTTTATGAGATAGAGTGCACCAGAATATGGTGCACATATGTTAAAGACAGTAAAGTGTTCTTGATTAACTATTTCCTTGATAAGAATGAAGTGTCCCTTTATCTCCCATGGTTGGATTCACTTGAAGTTTACTTTGTCAGATATTGTGAAAGTTAAGCCTACTTGTTTCCTGGTCTCATTTGATTGAAGTACTTTTTCCACCTTTTTACTCTAAGTCAGTATCTGTCTTTAAAGCTAAGATACATTTCTTGTAGACATCAGGTAAGTAGATTTTGTTTCTTGACTAAAAATTTGGTCAGCCTGCATTGAATGTTTTCTATGGTCACTGTGTTGTTCATAGCGGATGTTGCTGATTGTGTTCTCAGTGGTACTTTGTGTTATATTTATACTCATAGTCTCTATGCTATGTTCATTCCCTTCTTTAGCCCCAAATCTTTTTTCCTGTATTTCCTTTAGGTTAGATTTGTTGGATATACCCTTCTTAGTTTGTTTGTGTCATGAAAAAAAATTCTTTCTCCTTAAATCATAGAATATCCTTTTGTTGGATATATTATTCAAGATTGGCAGTCATAATATTTTAGGAAGTGAAATGCATTGCTCTAGACACGGTTTTCAAAATTTTTATTGAGAAATCAATTGCTATTCTGTTGGGTTTTTCTTTATATATGACTTTTTTTCTCATGCAGTTTTCAATACACTTAATTTATCATTTGTTATAACTGTGTTAAATAGTTATGCTGTGGGGATTGTCTTTCCTTGTCTTGTTTATTTTGGTGTTCAATGTGCTTCTTGTATCTATGTGTGCCTTTCCACAATTTGGGGAAGTTCACTTCTATGATTTTCTTGAAACTCTGGACTATGTCATTGATATAGGATTTTACTTTGTCATCTACACTTTTAATTCAAAAGTTTGGTGTTTTCCATGGTTTCTCACATTTGAAGGCTTTCCCTGGCATTTCCTATTTCTTGTGCGTTCCTTTATTATTTAAATAAATTATGTTCCTTGCTTATTTGGTCTACATCCTCTATTTTATCTTCAAAACCTGATAATTTCCCTTCTGCTTGATTCATTCTATAAGTAAGACATTCCTTTGAGTTTTGTTGTTGAGCTATTGGGTTTCTCAAGGATACCTTCATTTTTTCTAATGTACTCTTTAATGTTTCTATTTCTTGATTGAATTCTATTCTCAAGTCCTGGATTATCTTATGCATTTCCATTAGTCTTATGTTTGTGTTTTCTTTGGCATCACTTAGGAGTTTAGCTGCCTTAAGTTCGTTCTCCTTAATAGCATTGAGCTGTTTCTTCTTGTATTTTTAAACTCTTTGAGTTCTTTAATGAAGTTTATGATTGTCCTTTTATATTCTGTATCACAGAGTTCATCTAGGTAATTCACATTTACAAACACTTCTTTAGGACCTGTAGGTTTTGGAGAGGAGACAGTGACTTGAACTTTAATACTCTTGCTATTGTGCCAATATGATCTGGCCATATGGACTTCTGTTGTTAGGTCTGAGTTTGTTGTGGATATAGTGGTTCGATCGAGATATTGGAAACAGCTTGGGTGAACTGAAGTGGGGTGGACAGAGGATACTGGGCTAGTTTACAGGATGTGCTTTCTTTTTCAAGCCTTGAGTTTGAGGATATTTCTGGCTTCAGAGCGAGTTTAAATATGGCATGGGAGAGTCATGAGGGTTGTAAGCTAGTCAGGGAGGACCTGAGCCCAAATATAGAGCTTCTTTGCGCTGGCTGTGGAAGCCAGGCAAGATCTGGTGTGCTTTAGAAAATGTGTGGTTGGGGATGTTAGGGGAACTCACTAGGCTGCAGTCTGGAAGAGGAGGGGGGAATTTTGGGTACCTTGTGGGGTTTTAAGAAATGACTCAGATGGGACCAGTAGTTGATTGCCAGCAGGGTAGGTCTTTTCAGAAGTCCAGACCTTAAATGTAGTACAGGCTTGGTTGGTCAAATTAGGTTAGCACATATAATATGAGTTGTAGGACTCAGTGGAAGTCTAAACCATTGATGGCACAGGCATTGGGAGCTACACTAGAGTTGGCACTGCTTATGGGACCAGGGCTAGAAAAAGCAGATGGAAGGGAAATGTGGATGGCATGGTGTGTGACATTCACCAGGTTAGATTCTTTTATAGAGTGGTGTGGTAGAGACAGCAGAGAAGGGACCTGTTGGTAGATGCACATAGGATGGCATTTGGAGAAGCTTAATGCATGGCTACAGTGCAGAATGGGTTGTTTGATTAGGCTAGAGGCCAGGTACTACTTTCTGAAAGGTTTCTCTCTGCATTTAAAGTTTGTTTTTTTAACATTTATCAGGGAATTTTAATTTTATTTCCAAAGTAAACTAGATTTCATTGTATTTATTTAATCTGATACAGATCTGTCAATGTCTTTATGATTTCATTTTGTAAGGAAGGTGATTAATCATTGAGTATCAAGATTTACCATTTTTGGTTGTAGGTTTAAAGGAAATAATATTGAAGCTTAAATTATCTTCCCATATTAATAAAGTGAAATGATGAGACTCAGATTTCAGCATAGGAATCAAGTGTAGTATCTTTACATCATTAGAAACACTTATCCTTGAGTTGACCAAGCATGCTAACTGGAAGGTATAGTTCTCTACACTGGAACTAGAGATCAAAGCGAAACAGGTATGGATAGTCGTTCATGGCTTTGAAGGCTGTTCCCGGGCTGTGGGAGGATAATTTCAAAGGAGAGGTTTGGTGCATTCATGTCTGGAAACAGTAGAGGGCACAGAGACCTGAGATCATAATACTTGGTGTTTTATAATTGTTCTGAATCTCTAGAGCTGACAATGGTGTTGTACTGGCTAGATATATGTTAAACTGACACAAGCTATAGTCATCAGAGCAGAGGAAACCTTGATTGAGAAAATTCCCCCATAAGATTAGGCTGTAGAGAGTTCTGTAGAACATTTTCTCATTTAGTGATTGATAGGGGAAGGTCCTGTCCTTTTTTGGTGGTGCCACTTCTGGGTTGTTGTTCCTTAGTTATACAAGAAAGCAGGCTGAACAAGCCAAGAGGACTAAGGCAGGAAGCAGCACCCCTCCATTGCCTCTGTCTCAATTCCTGCCTCCAGATTCTTGCCCAGTTAGAGTTCCTGTCCTGACTTCTGTAGGATGATAGAGATGAATAAGGAAATGAGAGCCAAATCAATCCTTTCCACCCAACTTGCTTTGATAATGGTGCTTCATAATAACAATAATAATCTTAACTAGGACAGGCCTGTTGGTGACTTTTCAAATCTGTGTTAAAATCACCTGCAGAGGCCTGAGGCTCAGGCCTGAGCTGCCCACAACTAAAGTCTCCACCCCACTCGGGCCAGAGTCTCTTTGGCTTCTTCTCTCCTGATGGGTTGTGGGCTCTCTCTGGAACCCTATCTCAGACTGCTACCACACTAGGTATCTGCCTTCAAACTCCCTCAGGGTTCTACTGTTCTACACAGTTGGCAGAGTTGGTGAGTCAATTAAGATTTCTTAAAGGGAGAAATTAGTTAAAAGGGAATTTTATCCCGCATTAAAAAATTGGAAACATTTTTACAATGGAGGGAACTTGGTCTCTGTTTGATAACACATTAGGTAGTCTGAAAATGGAATGATTAAATGAGAGAGTAATTAGTGTTGATGGAATTTAAATAATGTCAATTATGAACATTATTTGTTTGATCATTTTTGTTTTATCATTAATAAGGTTGTTGATATGAGTGTCAAGATAAAAGTTTTAGAAAAACTTGTTAAAGCAGATCATAGAGGTATTCAGACCCAGACAGAAGAATTTAAATGTAAACCTATCTCAGCATTGCATTATACAGTTACCGAGAAACAGCCTAAGGCTTTCAAACATCCAACCTTCATCTATCCGGTAACCGTACAGGAACTGTCAAATGCTCAAAAAGTGTACGAGCTGATTTGGACCCCTGTGCAAATGTTAGATTTGAGGAGATTCTAGGAAGCTATAGTCTCATATGGTACGCATTCTTTGTAAAGCAGATGTTAAACTTGTGGTCAACTTGTAATAAAATTATCTCTCATGACTGGAAAGATTTGGTTACAACTGTTTAAGCGGTCTGTACAAACAGACAGGAAGTGATAGAGCTGTGCAGAGAGAGGAAGTAAGATGGCAGGGCACAGAAAAATCTATAAGATGTGAATGTACAGGAAGTAGCTCTCTTGGGCTGAGGATTCCAAGTAGTAGTAAGAACTTGTGGCTGGCTTGTTTTATTCCTCTGATCTTTCAGCTTTCTCCCCAATATCTGGCTCTGGGTTGTTATTAATAAGACTGTTTAGAAATTTGTGTTACACTTTCCACTCTGATTTGCTTTGGTAATGGTGTTTCATAATAACAATAATTACTTAACTAGGACAGGTCTGTTGTTGAGTTTTCAAATCTGTGTTAAAATCACCTGCAGAGTGAGAGCTACTGATTCCATCAAGGTGAGAGCCGAGACTACAGCAACCATCCTCAGAACCTCAAACCCTTCCCTCAAGTTTCAGATCTCACTCTGGCTCTCCTAAGGGGCAGGTTCTAGCAGACAAGAATTGCCATGAGGAAATGGTATTTCAGGTTCGTTCTCGCTATGTGACAGAGCAGACTGAAAAGGGGAAGGGCTTTAGAGCTGAGAGAAAACAAAGGCAAAGAAACACATACAGAAGACCATGGGTTGGATGTATGCTAATGGCCGACAGATATCAATTCCATTACAAATACAGCAACAAAATGATGAAAATAAAGAAAATTATGAGTGTGGAAGGACCTCCATTTATTTTATGGTGAATGGTTTTGATATTCAAACAAGGAGGTCTCCAAAATTTCTGGCCTTCGTTTTCTTACACACACAGTGATACTACTAGGTTCAGAAGTTTACAAGTTAATAAATGATGGATCTCCCAGAGAGTAAATATTTTCTTATTTTTTCTTTTTGTGGTCTTTTTTACTTTTACGTTTCTCACTTTTTCTCTTTTCACTTTTCTGACGTTTCTTAGCTGAAGCCTTATGTTTAATGTTAGTGCTACGTCCTCTTTCAGGTCTATCAGGTTTATCAGGTTCATCAGGTTTATCAGGTTCAGGTTCTGGCTCTGACATTTGTTCTGGTTCACTTTCTTGGTCTGATTTCTTTCTTGTAGTTAGACAAATCAAGAGAAATACAAACAACAAAACCAAAAAAAGAATTAAAAGAGCTAGCATTAACTGTCTTCTCTTGCGCCTGCTCCTAAAATATATCTTTGGTGCTGGTCCACTGTCTATACTACCTCCATAGCCACTTAGTAGACAGTCTGGTGGCTCCCATTCCTCATCGCAATGGCAGTGTTGTTTATTGTTGCAGACTCCTTTGTTATTGCATTGGACCGAACAGTTATTAAACAAAAAAGGGTTAGGGACACACTGCCTATCAATGCACACATTGTTTGTACCACAATTTGTGCCATCTCTCACTGCTCCAACGTCCTCTGTGGTAATTCCAAAATGGTAGTCCATACTCCAGCAGGTGACATCATTGAAGTGAGTCCAATGCACTGTTTCATGGTTTCTCCTCTGTGGAATCTCTTCTACATTATCACACTGAATTCGTCCACAGAGTATATCAGCATTATCACATATTCTGTAGTTACGGCTATCGTTACCACAGTTACCGAAACGGTCACCCCGTGTGTTCATTTCCATATAGCAAGTCTCATCTGCACTTTTGGCACTCCTGCCAAAAAGCGTCTGACAGTGTTCTTCGCGTTTAGGACATATCTTATTATAGCAGTAACTATCACCCCCGCAAGAAGTTCCATCTTCCTTGTATACATCTTCTGGACACTCAGCTGAAGTTCCATGACACCACTCTGGAAGGTCACATTCATTGTTCTCTTCTCTACACTCTGTGCCTGCTGGAATGAACTTGCAATCTTTGCAACAAAGCCCAGTAGCACATTCAGCATCAGGTTTGAACACACAGCCTTCGCTACAGCATGCATCAGTCTCACATGAATCAGAGGATCCACAGTCGCACTGCTCTCCTTCTTCAACTATATTATTCCCACACAAGGTGAGGTTTGCTTTTATTAATATATCTGGAATATTGTATAGACAACTTGTTTTGGTAATCACTGAATACATAGCCTCATAACTGCAGTTGCTGAACTTACGGGCATTAGTTTTTGATACAGCCATTATGCAGCTTGGTAATCCACAAGTACAGTAATTCTCATCATGAGGCATACCCAAATTATGACCCATCTCATGTACTGTATAGAATGCCATGCCTGGAAGTGAATCTGTCATGAAACTGTTAACTGCACAATTATTATTTTGGCAAACTGTTCCTACATAAGCTTGGCCTGAACTCCCAGTGTATGTTTGTCTGGCAAAAAGATGTGCAATATCATTTCTAATGCGATTGTCAACGTTATTCATCTTCCAAGCGCAGAAATTAGATAGGACATCACCTACAGATGCTGTTACATCAACATGGTTTGTTTGAGTCCAAACTTCCAGTGTAGTTAAAACCACCTCAATATCTATCTGAAGATAATAACCATTTATTCCATTGACAACTTGCAACATTTCCTGCATACAAGCTGTGACATTATTATTTTTGTAAACATATCGTTTATTATCTACTGCCACATAATATTCAACATACTTGTGGTGGGTCCACCAATTCTCATATTGGCTTTGCTTAAGTGTGGAGTCTTTGCTTTCTTGAATCTTCATTTGTCGTGCTATCTCTTCTTCTGTTAACCCACATCTCATTGAAAATGATTCTGAGTCCTCACTGTCTATTTTGTATACCAGATGTTCAAATGTGGATGTTCGGTTCTTGGGCATGATTTCATAAACTGTGCCATTTATCTCTATTATGCCTTGCAAACTCCCAAAACAGGTGTTAATAATGAGCGTGGATTCAGGTTCTCTGTCTACATAGCCATGGTAGTAGCAGTCATTCTGAACAAAAGGCTGTTCTTCAAGGAGATCACCTTTGTCATTGTAAGTGAACAGTAGGAAGTTCCTGGATACGAAGTATTTTGTGGGTTTCATGGTGATAATATGTCTCTCTCCTCCAAAGCGCAGGCTATAAGAGAGCCAGTCTGGGGAAATATCATGTCTACTAGGGTCAGTGACCCTCAAGGGTATCACTACTTCTGGAGGGCTACTGTACCTAGCATGTGTAGTTGGTGACCTTTCAGAGAGTAAGAGCAACATCCACAGGCAGAGCTGAAGGAACATGATTCTCTCATGGACCAGGGCCTCACCCACAGACACCAGAGGGCTTTGTTCTGTTAGTCCTCACTTTGTCTGGTTGCATGCAGCACTAGTCTTCAGTGGTGTGTCTTCTGGCAGAATTGATCAATCAGAGCATCAGGACTAAAGGAAATAGTTAAACAAAGGGCAAATATATGTAAATCATGATGAAGTCAGGTTAGAAAATAAAATAGCAAGAATTGGGCTTACATCAATTTATATTGCAAGGTGTGTTAACAGTGTTCATGGAGATTCTGATTGATTATTGTAAAGTATACTTGTTCCTGTGAAAATTGATTTCTAATTTACTCCCAGCTTTTAATAACTTGCCTTCTTTTCCACATTGTTTCTGAATGTTTTAATTTTCAAATTTTCCTCAACAGCAGTGAAAGATTTTATAAACTGAAAAATAATTTCATATTAGCTCTTGTAGTTCAATGATATTAATTTAAATTATAAAACACTAAACCTTTTCCTGCTTATTGAGTACATTTATATTCCTTTCTATCATTGCTTTGGCATAGCCATGAGTGTCAGAAGCCTCTCTCACACTGAACAGTTTTCTCATGTGTATTTTTCAGTTTCTTTCTTAGGTATTATTATTAGTGAATGTGAGGTGTACAGTAGTGAAGTGAAGCTTGTGTGCCTGTTAACATATGTGTGGAGGCCATAGCTCATCCTAAATTGGTTCCTCAAAATCATATACCTTCTTAAGGCTTTTATTTTTCACATTTTAATATTTTATCCAGTTGTTATAAGCTTGAATTGATGTGAGTTTGTGAGTACATGTAGTTGTGTGTGTGTGTGTGTGTGTGTGTGTGTGTGTGTGTGTGTGTGTGTGTGTGTGTATTTATGTAGAGTTTAAGAGTTAGTCTTGGATATCTTTCCTATGTCACTCTCAACCTTGGTTTCTGACACAATGTTCATCTTTTACATGGCACTCACTAAAGAGGGGAGGTTGGTTGTTCAGCAAGCCTTAGTAATCTGCATGTCTCTGCCTCTCCATTGTTGGCACTGCATGTACAGACCACTAAACCAGGCTTTTATATTGTTGCCGAGGATCAATCAGTCTCACGTTCCTCTGCTCGTGAAGCATTCACTTTACCAATTGAACTATTTACCCTGTCCTGCGTCCTCATCTTAGTGTATAATTATTTGAAAAAAGTAGTCAAGTAAGGAACAAACTGTGTTACCAACTACAGTGCCAAGAGCCTAGAAAAATTTATAAAGATATTCAAGGACAATATTGTGGAATTATGTCTAAAATCCCGATATGAATATTTATTATTCATAAATGTTTTAATTTACACTTAATAATTCTTATAGCATGTAGGTTGATGATATGTGGAAAGGAATTATTTATTCCTAATATAGAAATATTAAGATTGTACCAACAAATGTATGTCAGAATTAATGACTAAAACTCTAGTAACAAACAGAAGTTTAACAAAAACCCTTTAAGGAATAATTGAGCAAGCATAGACTTGTATTAATTTAGTTACTGTTAGCAATAATTCCAGCATCCAGAAATATTGAGAAATGATAACATTTTCATTCAAAATATGGCACATCTATAACAACAGAGACTTCATGTTGACTCTCAGATGTCATCTTTTGCCCTACCTTTTTTTCTCCCCATAACTTCATCAAATTCACCAATAGCTAACCATTTACTACACAAGTTCTGTACAATTCAGGATGCAATTATCACAGTAAACACTCTAGAGTCACCATGATAAAATTGAAGAGATTAGAAATAATGAAAGGAAATGCCATCCCCAGACCTGAACAACTGGAAGGGAATTAAGGGATTTTTTTTTTTTGCTTCTATCCTTTACAATAAATGTCATAAGAGACTTACCACCAGATGCAGTGATGCCCATGGTTACTTCTAGTTATGTCCTTGCTCATGAAGCATTTGTAAAGCCCTTCTTAGTAGCAAAGGTTTTTTTGTTGTTCTTTTTCATTTGTTTGAGAATGCATAAGAGACCACGAATTCTTTCCTTTCTCTCTCTCCTGGAGAAAGCCCTAGATCCCTGTGTCTAATGATAAGATCCTCTCATTTTACAGAATTTTGCCACTGGTGAGGTTCTTCCCAACAGTGCTTCTACCACTTCAACCTGTTAATTTGTTTTTCTTATTCCATGTGAGTAAGTCTAACTTCCTTCCCCTCATGTTCTATGATCTACTATCTCCAGAGTGAATATATCTCATACCTTGCTTACATTTTCCTCATACACTACAAATTCAGCTGAACTCTGTGTTTTTATTCATATTGTAAATGTTGTTGGTATTTATTTACACAGTATTGAACCTAATATGGAATATTCAAAATCTTCTAATCGTAGAAAATAATTCCATAATTTTTAGAAAATACTCTACCCAGTGATTCTCAGCTTGGGTGTTGCAACCCCCTAGCAGGGGCAGGGGGAGTGACCCTTTCACATGGGTCTCCCAGGACTGTCAGAAAACCCAGATATTTACATCACCATTTATAACAGTAGCAAAATTACAGTTACAAAGTAGCAATGAAAATAATCTTATGGTTGGGGATCACCATACCATGAGGACCTGTATCAAAGGGTCACAACATTAGGAAGGTTGAGAACCTCTGCTCTAAGGAATCAAGTGTCTACTATTAGTTTCCTTTCTAATAAGTAATCTTATTTAGATTACTTATTAGTAATCTAATACTTTCAATAAGTATCTCAGAGACATTGCACACTTGCTCATGTAGATGTAGATGCTTTGTCTACTTCATAAAACAACTATTAAAACTAATTCATGAATTTAGAATTGTAGGGGTAACTGTGTAGGTTAAATTTCTTTGGTAGACAGCTGAGAAAATATCAATCTGAGACCAGCATATTTTATAAGCTGTTGAAGGCAAATGGTAGAAACAAGTGTATTTATTAAGGTTACTAGTTTCAAAAAGCTTTGTGACCTGTCAGTGTGCTGTATTGACTCTTCCATCATTTTTACTTATTAATTTCCTTGAGGATTTTACACTTTATATTGTATTCTTTCTCACCCTTCAATTCTTCCTAGATCCGTTCTCCCTTCCAATCTACCCAACTTCATGTTGTTTCTCTCTAAAAAATACAAACAAACAAATCATAAAAGAGAGACTGCAGAAAACATGGAGTCCAGTTTGTGCTGCCATCATTGGGTCAGCCCTTGAGTGAGTTAGTGAGTGGGGTTTATATACCCTTCTTTCACTATATTGAAGAAAACCATTTTCTCTACTCTTAGCAGTTTCAACCTACAAAGAGCTTCCCAGCTAGGGGTGGAGCTTTAAAATCTTTCATTTAATTTTTTTCCAGAAAATATCTTTTGATCATATATATATATATATATATATATTTTTTTTTTTTTTGGTTTTTCGAGACAGGGTTTCTCTGTGTAGCTTTGCGCCTCTCCTGGAACTCACTTGGTAGCCCAGGCTGGCCTCGAACTCACAGAGATCCGCCTGGCTCTGCCTCCCGAGTGCTGGGATTAAAGGCGTGTGCCACCACCACCCGGCTTGATCATATTTTTTTTAGTGATGAGACTTTGTGCCCACTTCTCCTTCCTGATGAGATTCTCTGTGGCTTGAGCTTGTGTAAGTCTTGTTTTCAAAGTTTTGTGAGTTCATATGTGCGTCTGTCTTATTGTACATGAATAATGCAAGTTTCATAAAGTCATCTATCACTTCTGACTCTTAGAATCTTTCCATTTCCCTCTGCACATAGATCTTTAAGTCTTGAGGGGAGGGGTTTGATAAAGACATCCCCTTTAGGACTAAGACTTCCAACTTTATTGCTTTCTATTGTTGTGGATCTCTGTGCTATTTACCATCCAGTGCATGAAGAAGCTCTTTGATGAGGGTTGAGTGACACTCTGAACTATAGATATAATATGTTATTAGGAGTCATATTCTTGTAATATTCATTTAGTAGAATAATAGTAGTATGTTTCCACCTAGGTCCCATGACTTCTAGTCTAAGATTCTTGGCCACATATAAACAACATCAAATATGAGTTCACTATTATGAAATGTAGCTTAAATCCAATTACAGATGGATTGGTGATTCCCCTAACTGTCTATTCACTCCTTCTACTGTCATTCAGTGAACACATTTTGTAGGCATATCATTACTATAGCTTCGTACAGCTGTATTACAGCTGGATTAGACTGACTGTTACTTGGCTATTCTAGTAGCATATATAGCACCTTTAAGATATACATTGAGCTTGCCAGTATGAATGAAGCTTCCAGTTGTCTATCATCTATATTTAGCTATGTTATACACCCTAAGTATGTTATCATCACCAATAGTGTCTTACCATTAGTTGTAGTAGGTACCCAATCAAATGGGAAATATCCTGTATTGATTCAAGTTCTATGCAACACTCTAACAACTCAAAAAGATGTAATCCAATTTGGGTACTGGGGGTTTTATTTGGTAGTTTAGATGTCCAATTTTTCTCATTGTATGGTGACCTCATTTAAATTCCTTTCATATGTGTATATATTTTGGGATGCTTTTTACAGTAGTAGGTGTTCATATCATTTCTTTACAGCCTTACCGTTAGTTATCCCTCCCAATATTTCTGTCTCTATTCAGTCCTCCCATCATCCACCTCCTTTAATATTTCTGTTTTAACATCTCCATTATTTTGTTATAATTCTACATTCTATAAATCTTTCCTGGGCAGATCCTCTTTTGCCCCCTGGTCCTTTTTTAGACACCTAACCTCTGTGTTTATTCTAAATGAAACACACATTTCTAAACCATAAAAAGCAACATCCATATTTGTAAGAATCATGTAATGATTGTCTTTCTTGGTCTGGCTTACGCTCCTCAGGATGGTTGTTTTTGTCCCCATACATTTACTGGCAAATTTTGTGTTTTAACAACTGAATACTATTCCATGGTGTAAAAATACTACATTTTCTTGTCTTTTCATCAGCTGATGATCAACTTTGCCATCATTCTGGCAATTATGAGTAAAGTAACAAGGATGAATAATTATCT